TGGACATAGTCTAAGGGATGTTTATGGAACTAGAGTCTGGAATGAGGTAGGGAAAAGCAGCAATTCTAAAACTGTGCCAACTGCATTGGCTTTGATTATTGTTGTTGTTGTTTTAGGTGAGACGTGTGCCATACCAAACGATGATACCTTGGTGGGAAAAGCTGACGAGAAAGTCAGTGAACACCATTCCCCTCAAGCAGGTACACCGACAAAGCTTCCTGGGGCGAGGGGCATAGCTCAGTGGTAGGGCACTTGTCTGGCATGTGCAAGGCTCTGGGTTCAATCCCTAGCCATGAGGAAAAAAAAAATATGTCTTGAATTTTAAAAATTAAAGTCATAATTGGCAGGTAACTTTCCTTTTTCTTCTTCTGGCAGATTCCATGATCACTGCCATTGGAAACCCATCACAAATATTAAAGGTTACAGAGACATTTGGGACTTGGATAAGAGAGTCTGCTAATAAGAGTGATGACCGTATCTGGGTGACTGAACATTTTTCAGGTACTTTCATCAACAGAGGATCCAAACCTGCTGTAATTGTATTTTCATCTGTCACTTACCTTCAGGCTTATTCTACGTCTGTTTCTGAAATCCCTGCTATTATTGGTATACTAATTGCTCCTTATTTCAGAAAGTACAGTCAGGGGTCAGAATACATACCTCCCTTGAACATGCTGGTTGGAGAGCCTTGCAGTCCTAGTCACAGGGACACAACCAGACACCCCCAGTGTAGCCTGTCCAGTTGTAGGCAAAGTATCCAAAAGGATACAACAACATGATGACTCTAGGCCTTATAATCCCCAAATCCATAATATGGAAGAAATGTCAGAGGCAAATTCTTTGTGCACCTCCATCTTTCTCTAGGTTTGTACCATTCAGGAGAATACTTCTTGGCCATTTTTCTCAGATATCTGGTGGACCAGGGGAGAAGGTACAGGACCATCCTGCAGTCACACTTCATCTAATTTTGACCCTAGTCATGCTGGTCTAAGGAAATGCGGTCACACATTGTCTATAACAATGGCCTCATTCCAGAATGTGTCCCGCCATACGCACTCATTAGAGAAGGAGCTGAAAAGAAACAGCTTCTTTATTTCCTCAGGGCTAACTGGTCAGCCAGTAGTAACTGTCCAAATTACCAGTTGAGAAAGATTTGAGGCTTAAAAGACATTAGCAGTAACTATTGTGGCATGCAGGAAGAGGCAGGAGGCTATGAGAGGTCCATCCACAAATGCCAAGTATTTGCTATTTCTGGTATAGACCTATGCTGCTCAATAGAACATTTTATAAACACTAGGCCAGGCATGGTGGCGCATGCCTGTAACCCCAGCAACTCAGGAAGCTGAGATAGGAGGATCTCGAGTTGAAGGCCAGCCTCAGCAACTTAGTGAGACCCTCAGCAACCTAGCAAGACCCTGTCTGAAAATAAGAAATAAAAAGGACTGAGGACGTAATTTAGAGTAAAATGCCCTGGGTCCTATCTGTAATACCAAAGAAGATTTTATAAACATTAGAGAGAGGGGTGGGGAGGGGGGACAGGGCCTCTCTGGAGGAGCCAAGCCAATTCTGTGATGACCATATCTGAATGATTTGTCAGGAACCGATAGGGAGAGCTGGACTTTGGGAGTCTCAACTCTTCAAACTGGACAAGAGACCTTAGGGAACATGTTGCTCTCACCTTCCCTCCTTCTAAGATCCTCCCAGACTCACACCCCAGCTGTGGTTGTTAGAGGTAGGTAATCACCTTCCCCTGGCTTTCCCCTGCAGGCATCATGGTGAAGGAGTTCAAAGACTGGCCCTCCCTTCTGAACGGCAGTTACACCTTCATCCACCTCCCGCACTACTTCCACGGTTGTGGGCATGCTGTTTACAACAACTCTCTCTACTACCACAAAGGGGGCTCCAACACCATAGTGAGGTAAGCCACCTGGACCTCAGCTCTGTCCTCCGTGCCCTTTTACTGCACCCCAGAGAGCACCTGCTGTGTGGTACTCTGATGACCTTAGGAGTGGGGACCGTGTCTTTTTCATCTTTATGACCCTCAGGCTGGCACATAAGGGAGGTCAGTCAGGGTTTGTTGACTGAATGCATCACAGGACAATGACAGAGCTCTCTATCCAAGCCCCTGCCTGGGGTTTACACTAATTGCTGGTCTGGACAAGGGGTGGGGTGGGGGTGGGGGGCTGAGGCAAGGTGGAGGGGCCATGAGTAGTATCATCTGCACTTCCTCATCCTTGGATGAACTTGTAGCTCCCTCCAGGTGTCACTTCCTGGAGGCATCAGTTTTGTTTTGAAAAATTTGGGCTGTGAGGAATTTCATGTCACAATTGAGATCACTGAAGACTAGGGACGCAGCCTTTCAAAGTCAGCCATCTCTGCCTTCAGATCCACTGGTCACACCTATGGATCCTCACAACTACCCCAGCTCAGCTCACCTCCTCCCTCTGCTTTCCCAAGGGGAAGGGGAGACTAAGGGAGACTGTGCCCCAGGCAGCGCCTGAGTCTTCCTGCTCTCCGAAGGAATTATATCCACAGATGCACACACACCAAGATTCCTGTGCTGCTCAATGGCACCCTCTGGTGTTTTATTTTAGCCTAACGTCACTGCGTTGTTATTTCTGAATTGAGGTCATTTTTTAATCATTATTCACTTTTTTTTGAGTCATCTAGATTTGTCAAAACAAAGCCTGCCAAATCAGCCCCTGGGAGATAAGGGGCATGGGATTCCATGCCACAGTTCAATTTTTCAGCCACTTACCTGACAAAAAAGATTGGCATCACAGCCCTGACATTGCTACATGTCTTCTCAGCTGGCGACTTTTAATTTAAAATAATATGGATTAAAAAAGAAATTCCAGCAGGAAGTAAAGGAATTACCAGCAAATTTGGAGTTAGAAAAAAATCCTAAATTCTCAATCTGGCTCTACTACTTCTATTTGTGGACTCATCTTCTCCTTTTTCTTTTATAATGAAAGGATCAGACTAGGTCATCTTTACAGGCCCTTGTAGCTCTGAGAACCTTTGAGAAGACAGTTGGAATCCATATACCTGAAGATGAGCAAGGTTAAGTGGTTTTCCCAGGGTCACATGGCTAGTAAGTAGTTGCTTAGATGTGAATTCATTCTGACCCCAGGGAGGATTGTCCTTGACCCCATACTGCTGCCTCCCTGCTTCTTTGGCTAGCACAGGCTAGTCACTGTCCTTTACATCCTAACTGCCCACAGAGTTGCAAAAGGACCAGCAGAACAGGCATTACCTGGAGCTTGTTAGCAATGCAGAATCCCAGGCCTCACCCCAGGTCTACTAGCTCAGTTTAAGGCGTTCCACAAAACCACCTTTTTCCAACAGAAATGGTAACTTAGATCTATTTTTTTTGTTGTTTGTACACATTTCAGATTTGAATTTGGCAAAGAAACATCCCAAATTCTGAAGCTCGAAAATGCCTTGTATTTTGATCGGAAATACCTTTTTGCAAATTCCAAGACTTACTTCAACCTAGCTGTAGATGAAAAGGGCCTCTGGATCATCTATGCCTCGAGTGTGGATGGCTCGAGCATTGTTGTAGCACAGCTGGACGAGAGAACCTTCTCAGTGGTGCAGCACATCAATACCACGTACCCCAAGTCCAAGGCCGGTAATGCCTTCATAGCTCGGGGAATCCTCTACGTCACAGACACCAAAGATACGAGGATCACATTCGCCTTCGATTTGTTAGGAGAGAAACAGATTAATGCAAACTTTGATTTGAGAACTTCCCAGTCTGTTCTTGCCATGTTATCATACAACATGAGAGATCAGCACTTATACTCCTGGGAAGATGGCCATTTAATGCTTTATCCTGTGCATTTTTTGTCAGCTACGTTTAAACAATGATGAGCTGCCTTCCATTCCCCTCCCCTCTCCTCCATCCCCACCACCAGTACATTTCAGGTGTTTTCTGGGGTCACTTTTATCCAACAGAAAACTTGTCTAAAGACAAGTGAGGTAGCCAAGGTACTTAGAACATAATCTTATAGCATGAGTGTTTGTAGTCAGTGGGCACCTTTAAAATCAGATTGCTTAATCAAATAGCAACAGATTGGAACTTAAATGTTCCAATAAACTTAAATGTTCTCCATAAACAACTCATTTAGGCAAGTTAGCTCTCCTTCCTTGGGCCTTGGTTCCCCTGTTAATAATATAAACCATCTGGTTAGGGTAATTGGTAAGATGTTCTCTAATTGTAGAAAATTTTGTGATTCTTGGCTGTTATTCTTCTCACAACTTTTACAAGTCGGGTTCTGTTTTCTGGTTTGTCAGCCAAATGTGAGCAAATTTACCTTTGAGTTGATAGTCCCTATTTCTTGTGCAGTGAATTCCCCAGTACTGACTTATATTGGGCACCTTGGGAAAGTACATTGACCTTTTAAGCCTTCTTAATGCTATGTTATCCATAATTTATTAGTTTTCTCTGAATTTGCACCTGCTACCACAGAATGGCCATTGTCCTCATCTCCAAGATTAGCTAAAGCCAGGAACACTTGCATGCTCAGGTTTCTAAATGAAACAGAATCAGGTCTGATCAGGTTCCTGTCAACTTCTGATCATGTTGATTTACTGCAGGGGACCGTAAATACTGAACCCTTGGGCACTCTGGTTGCTCACTCTACAGCACTAAAACCTGAGTGAATGGGCATTTATCTGGCCAGAACCATAGGAAGCACTTTGCAGTTTCAAAGAGAGGCACTATTTGTAGTTATTATGTAGAACCAGGGAGGGGGGTGGTAAACTATAACCCAAGGGCCAAAGCCAATCTGTTGCCTGTTTTTGTAAATAAAGTGGAACATAGTCTCACTCATTTGTTTACAGGCTATGACTACTTTTGCTGAATAACAGCAGAGTGGAGTAGCTGCTGCAGAGAACATATGGCTCCATAAAGCTGAAACATTACTATCTGGCTTTTTGTAGAAAGGGTTTGCTGACCTTTGATCTAGAATACAAAGTCAGCCTGATTTATGGACGGGCTTACTCACCAGGGCCTGTTTTGTTTTGTTCCAACTAAGAACTGGCACTTGATATGGTTGGAATTTCAGGTAGAGGAAAAGGCTGAGAACAGCATCAAATGAAGTGACTCCAGCAGTAAGTGAGCTGTTCTTTCCTAAACAATTTAAAGGATATATCTAGTCCCCATGGGCAGGAGAGGATCCAGTTTAATTTGCTCCCAAATGCACTTAAACATGAATGTTTTCTGCCAACTCAGTCTGAACATCCTTCAGCCCAGTGCTGAGATCCAGGCAGGGCCACTGAGAAAAGAGGAAGCTGGACAGATGACTAGAGAGATCCTTGTTGCCAGGAAAGAGACAGAGGGAAACTCTTAGGGGGAGATCATCTGCCCCAGTTTGTGTGTCTTCTGAGACTTTTCTCTGGGTCCACGTCTATTCCCATTTTTTATAGTCCATGATTTCTGGGTCCTGGTTTATACCTAATTAATAGAAGGATTTTTAAATGTAAAAGATGTGCAGATTTAAATATTTAAGTCTCCCCACCCCCTCAAAATGCCCAGGCAGCTGTTAGTGATGTGTTTGTTGTGTTCCCAAGATAATGAGTCTTTGAAACTTCTCCGCCTACTTTTAAATTAGATAGTTGTATCATGTCACCATAGCTTTGTAAAAATACTCTTTTGGGATTTATGTTTTGTAGCAAAGTAAGGCTCTCATGTTTGATCAATGTGTCTAAAAATGCTTGTGTTCTTTTAAATGTAAATGTATATATTGCTGTTTTCAAACATGAATATAATTTCATAGATTAGTAGTCTTAGTTGATAATACATGAAATACTAAACTAAGAATTTAATTATTGAATTAGCATATCACTTTTTGTTTTGGGGGAAATTTTTGTTTTGTTTTTGTTTTTTTTACTGGGGATTGAACACAGGGGCTCTTAACCACTGTGCTACATCCCCAGCCCCTTTTTCATATTTTACTTTGAGACAGGGTCTTGCTAAGTTACTAAGTTACTGACCAAGTTGCTGAGGCTCCCCTTGAACTTGTGATCCTCCTGCATGAGCCTCCTGAGATGCTGGGATTACAGGTGTACACTACCATGCCCAGCTACATATTTCTTTCAGAAAAAATGTTATAGAAGCTCCAGTTTTGATATCTGAGCTATCTCAGAGCTATCTTGGCTCTTTGTTTTTGTTTTTTGTTTTTGTTTTTTTTTTTGAGGCAGAGCCTCACTATATTCCCCACAAGCTGATATTGAACTTGAACTTCTTGGCTCAACTGATCGTCCTGCCACTGCCTTCCTAGTGGCTGAGACTACAGGTGTGCACCACCATGACTAGATCTTTGGTTCTCTTAATTGTGGGTAAAAAATCATATGCTCATTATGAGAGAAGCTTATATTGGGACTTGTTTATTTATTTATTTTGCTAGGTAATAGTGATATAAGAACAACCATATTTAACTGATGTTTAATAACAGGGTAATTTTATAATCTGATTGACTATCTTTACAGAATTAAAATTATTTTTTTTATTGATTGTTCAAAACATTACAGAGCTCAAGACATATCATCTTTCATACATTTGACTCAATTGGGTTTTGAACTCCCCAAATACATAATACAGACTCACTTCTGTTACATACTCACATTTTTACATAATGGCATATTAGTGACTGTTGTATTCTGCTACCTTTCCTATCCCCTACTATCCCCCCTCCCCTCCCCTCCCCTCCCATCTTCCCTCTCTACCTCCTCTGCTGTTGTTCAATTCTCTCCCCTTTTTTTCCCCCCACCCCCTTGCCCCTCATAACCTCTTATAATTTTGTGTATCACTGAAGGTCTCCTACCATTTCCATATGTTTTCCCTTCTCTCTTCCTTTCTCTCCCCCCATTCGTCTTAGTTTACTGTTAGTCTTTTCCTCATGCTCTTCCTTCCTGTTCTATTCTTAGTGGCTCTCTTTATATCAAAGAAGACATTTGACATTTGTTTTTTAGGGCTTGGCTAGCTTCACTTAGCATAATCTGCAGAATTAAAATTATTAAATTTTCAATTATTCTTTCCTGGAAACAGTGCTTGATTGGGGGAAAAAAGGGGCTTTGGGCTTGCTGCTAAAATAGAATGCACAACCTAATATTTTTAAGTCAAGACACTGTTTTAGTAGTTTATATTCTCACTTATAATCAAAGTTGCTTTGAAGCACTTTCCAAGTATCTGCACTTCTGATGTCAAAATCAACACAGATAATTCTCTAATTCTTCTCAAATCTAAAATAGATAGCTTCCTACTGGGAGGTAAATAAAACCATCCCTTCCAACCTCAAAGTTAGGCCAGACCCTATTTCAAAGTGTTTTCTTTCAACTGATAAAGTGTCCTATTGAAGTCATGCAGGTGGCTCTGGTCTCAGTCTATCGCTAAAGCACAGGTGTTGGGACAGAAAAAAGGTTCTGAGTTGAAAGTTTTAAAATGAAGAGTTCCCAGTCATTACCTTCAGTGTGTCAAGGTGAAAAGTCAAATGAGACAGGCAGTTCTTAAAGAGCCAGGTGTCGTTTTCCAGCCACACAGAGTACAATTTAGCTGAGGATCTAATGTCAAACCATCTGAAGAAGCGGGTGACAGTTTCATCCAAGTTTCATCCAGCTGCTGTGACCTTGTATAATTTCCAATCTGTAACTACAGATTCTGAACAAAAAATAATAATAATGAATTTTCGTTTGTCATTTATTTAACTTTCATTTGTCAAATAAAAAATCATTGCTGAGTACAATTCCATGTTAAAACAAGTGTATTGTTATTTTTTCCTCTTATTAATTTATATGTAATATTTGAAAGAAAAATAACAATCCAAAACAATATTGTGGTAGAATTATAGTGGTTGCTCCTCTATAGAAACTCTCTCAATTTTCTAGTTCCTTCTGAATATTGAAAAATCATTGATGTGGACTGTTTTCACTATAGGAAAATATAAAAAGTGGAAATCTAGTAACTAGTACTGGGTAAGCATAAATGCAATGAAAATCTGTAATATTACCAGCATGAGCAAGGCAAATAAAAACATAATATTTGGATTTATGTGAATTTGAGCAAGTTTTTAATCCCTTAGACCTCATTTCATCTGTAAAAGATGGATAATAGTATTACTTAGCTTCCCTGATTTTTTTCAGGGAAATGCTCTGAAAAAAATCTCCAATTCATGACAAATGATCATTGCTACTTCTATAGTTCATCCCTGTAGGGACCCAGAGAATCCCTGCTCTTATGGTCTTATGTTGGGCTGCAGAAGTGGGCAGGGACACAATGTCAGTAGTTTCCTCGTACTGGTCTGTTAGATCAGGTAGGTAACATTGTCACACCACCAAAAACTGATTCCTTAATTATGCAATGAATTTGCAATAAAACTGCCCAAAATAGTAAAAATAAAACAAAACAGTTGAAGAACTTATTGCTTTGACCTATGGAGCTTCCTTCTAACTCTCCCTAGAAGTATGTCAACTACTTATGGCTCAAGTGTGCACTGCTGATGACTTTTCTGGAGGATTGAACCCAGAATTGCTTTACTACTGGGCCTCTTTCCCAGCCTCCACCCCTTTTAATTTTTTTTTTTTTTTTTTTTTTTTACTTTGAGCTGTCCCTTGAACTTGCAATCCTCCTGCTTCAGCCTCCTGAGTCACTGGAATTATGGTTGTATGCCACCATGCCCTGTTGCTGCTGATTTTTTTTTTTAGTTGAAATATTACAAAGTAAAATGTCGAGTCCAGAAAGAAAATCATAGTCTTGCCCCTTTCAACAGATCATTCACATCTTGCATGTGACTTTAAGGTATCTAATATTACAGCTGTTCTCTGTAAGATATATAAAAAAAAATAAGGATGAAATTAATCCCTCAGCCTCACTGATTTTTATCTCCAAGCAATCTGGTATGGTCAATCTCAATGACTGTTTTAATTAAGTTTAGGTTTTAATTAAGAAGTGGTGAGCCGGGCGGGAGTGGTGGTGCCCACCTGTAATTTCAATGGTTTGGAGCTGAGGAAGGGAGGATTGTAAGTTCAAGACCAGTTGCAGCAACTAAGCAAGACCCTGTCTCAAAATTAAAAACAAGAAGGTCTGAGGATGGACTCAGAGGTGAAGCATTCCTGGGTTCAATCCCTGGTACCACGAAAAGAAGAAGAAGGAGGAGAAGGAGAAGAAGACAATGATGACGGGGTGAAACTAGTTCTAAAATCCATCTGATTCTTGCATCTAGCAGTTGGCATTGTGAAGGTCCTAAGCTTGTTTGCCAAGAGGCCACATGCACAATCACAGGATCATAAAGGATCTTTACAGAACACTTGATCCCACACTCTTGTTTTAAAGTATAGGAAAGTGGGACCAGAGGATCGGACTAGTTGAATACAAGATGTCCTGCAAAAGCTTCTGTGTTAATGCAGGAATATTCAGAGGTGAGATGACTGGATTCTGAGAGCTGTAACCGAATCAGTCCATCCTAGTTTGAATGGACTGACTGGTGGCAACTGTAGGCAGGTGGGTCTTGGCTGGAGGAGGTGGGTCATTGGAGGTATGCCCTGGAAGGAGGTTGCTCTTCCCTGAGGTCTCTCCCTGTCTCTCTGCCTCAGCTTCCTTGGGGGCAGTGAAGGGAGCAGTTTTCCTCCACCACACCCTTCTGCCTCATCTTGGGCCCAGAACTTGGCTGGGTTGGACTTGGCTGACCATGGACTAAACTTCTGGAACTGGGAGCCCAAATCAACTTTTCCTCCTCTTTATTGTTCTTGTCAGGTATTTTGGTCACAGTGATGAAAGGTGACTAACACAATGACTCACTCACCCCACATTCCAGTCTATGGGCCAGAATCAAGAGCAGGTGCACGATTATGTTGTTCACCTCACTCTGCCACTGCCAAAGGAAGGGTCTGGTTCTTACAATTGGGAAATGAAAATAGCTAACTTTGAACATGTTTCTGAAAGGCACTCCTTTTAAAAAAGCTGTAGAAGAACATGCCAAACCCACTATCTTCAGACAGAGAACACTCCCCAACCAAGAATTTTCATCACGCAGTAACATAGGTCATCACCTTCTGCATGTCAACGGACACACTAAAGTCCAGCACCACCTGTTATTGTAATAGCTCTACCACCACTGGACTTCTTCGCCCAAAGTTTTAGAAACATCCAAGAAGCCACCACTTGGTGCTCAACATCTATACGCCATGATCTTTTCTAAGCAATTTGCACACATTATTTCACTTAATCATAGATGCCCACATGAGGCCTTTAAATATTAGCTCTCAATGTTTAAATTGTTCACAAATGTAGTAGACACTGTGATGACCTGTCTACTTGGGTTTTGCTTCAGGAAAGACTTCTTGTTCCTGCTGCCAAGAGTCTCTCAGCCCCCAGGAATTACCAGAGCTACACAGAGCTGCTTTGTTCAAGGACAAGTCCCCTCATCCAGTGACAGACCAAGGCATGAGTGTGCAGTCCTGGACATTGTGGCCCACCTTGGAACTACTCTAACTGGTCATTCTGGTGCCAGAGTTCCCCAGGCTCAGCCAAGTCTTTCACTGGGCCTATAACACAGATAGACCCCACCACTACAAATAGTTCACCAGGAATAGTCCAAGAGAGAAGCCTCAGAGTTGGGGTGGCTCTGCTTGCAGTGAGAACCCCAGCCTGGTGGCCACTGGGACGAGGTGGTCCAATTCTGAAAACTT